TTTAAACAAGCGAATGATGCGTGGTGTCTTGTTTCACAGTGAATAAGTGTTTTGCAAATTGCTGTGTATGTTTTCTGTTTAATTGTTTACGGTCGCCCAGCTACTAAAATAGTAGAATAAAATTCCTAGTGTCAGTGTAGGTAACTGAGCAAAACCCAGCATATTAAGGTTCTGATGTACAGTCACGACACTGTATGCCTCTTCTGTTGTGTGTGAATTAAAAAGGCCAGTAGTTCTGCATACAAATAACTTTTTTTTTTAAATTCCTTTCTCCTCTTTTTTGACATTGTTGCTTTTCACTTGGTGGTTGAGAGGTGTTCAGTTCTGTTTCTGCACACCTCCTAGAGTTAGGTATTTACCGTCTTAATGTCTTTAAGTCCCTTGCGCGCAGGTTCTTAGTATTTGTCTTGCCTTAGGTTGCAGGACGGTTGCATGTTGAAGTAATGCGAGTCACTGGGTCTGTCCCAGAACGTGTAGTAGAAGGAGATGACTCATCTGAGAACTCCAGTGAGAGTGGGAGTCTGGAAGTCGTGGATAACAATGGAGAAATTATCCATAGAGCAAAAAAGCTCTCCTGCAGGGTAAGTGAGAACACATGATGAAGTTAACAGTTTCAGGCCTTTGTAACTATGTAGTCGGTCTGATGTAAAGTACTAAGCTATGTAGGCTATTGCTTGCTTAAAATTCTCTGAAAAGGAAAGAGAGACTTCTCGTGTTCTGGTTCAGTGTAGGTCAGTCTAACTGGCTGTGGTTGCCAGTGGCTGAATTAATTCACATTAGTTTCTAGTATATGCAGGTCTACGTCATAACTACTGACATTATAAGGACTGCCCTTCTTGACAGACACAGAAGGGGAAACAGTTTTTCCGTGTAACCATCTCCTATGGTTTGTTTGATCATCTAATGTAGTATCTACGGGTGGTGTCTGTATTTCATTTCTTCTGTGACGAAGTGCTTCATTCTCTACTTGAGCTTATCAGCTTCCTCAAAGAAGACATGTACATGGGTGGGCTAGTTAGATGCATGTAACTGCTTGCCTTGCACCTGCATTTCTGTATGTGGAAAATAGAGATTTCCTAAATAGGGACATCCGTAGAAAGCAATCGGAGGGTGTGGGTACTTCTTCTTGGCTGTTGGTACTTTTGGATTTAAATATTTAGGTTTTGAACAATTTACGGTTGAAGAAGAAACAATCATATTTATGAGAACATCTGTTTTGTCTCCTCAGGTGAAAATAAAAGAAGCAACCGGACTGCCACCTAATCTCTCCAACTTTGTCTTCTGTCAATATACGTTTTGGGATCAATGCAAGTCAACAGTAGCGGCACCAGTGGTAGATCCAGATGTGCCTTCACCTCAGAGCAAGGATGCTCATTTTACAGTGACCTTCTCTCACTGTAAGGTAACTATTTTTATTATGAAATAGCGTTACTGGGAGGATGGTATGTTTGAGATAAGCTATTTAGAATTTGAGCCTTGTTTCGCTGGGGGAAGAAGGAAGGAATCAAGTCATATAACCAATGACTTCTGATTATAATTTAGAATGCTGTAATATTTCACTTCATCACCTCTTCAAAATGCAGCAAAATGAAAAAATCTTTTAATTAGTGGTCTTTTAAATTCAGATGTCATCTGTAATGCATGAGGGAAACTATAGTTTATATAATGACATCTTATTATATACTTGTTTAGTAAGCTCAGTAACTTAAAAAAGAGCATTGGAACTGTGGCATTGTTTTTATGGAAGTTTTCAGAGCATGAAATGAAGTATGCAGAAGCAGGAGTTGCTGAGATGATATGTTTCACAACTTTCTTGACCAGAGCCGAGCTTTATGATCCAAACTGTATGGTTTTACCATGCAGGTTGTTAGTTGTTTGTGTCCTTACAAATTGGTTGAGGAGATACAATTATTTCATTTGACTGTATGTCATTTGTCTTTCTCATTGCCAGGACTATGTGGTGAATGTCACAGAGGAGTTTTTGGAGTTCATTTCAGAAGGAGCTCTTGCTATTGAGGTGTGGGGTCACAGATGTACTGGCAATGGCAGCTCTGTTTGGGAAGTTGATTCTCTTCATGCTAAAACTAGGACACTGAGAGACAGGTACAAATAAATTACACGTGAATGCTTCCATTGGTTTTCCAAAGGCTTTCTAATACCTGTGGTGCACAAAACATAGTTTGGTGAGGCAACCGTTAGTTTTTGGGGGGATGTCTTTTTAGGTGGAATGAAGTAACTCGAAGAATAGAAATGTGGATTTCCATACAAGAATTGAACGAGATGGGAGAATATACTGCAGTTGAACTCCATCAGGCGAAAGATGTAAACACAGGGGGGATTTTCCAGCTTAGGCAGGTATGTATCTTTCCCTGTCGTCTTATTCATGCTTAAATTGGGTCTGAATTTTATTCTTAGTTTCTCTCTGTTTTTCTCTCTCCCTCTCTGTCTGTCTTTCTGTTTCTTAATTACCTGTTCAGGGTCATTCTCGCAGGGTTCAGGTGACAGTGAAACCCGTACAACATTCGGGAACATTGCCTCTCATGGTAGAAGCAATTCTTTCAGTCTCCATAGGTGGTGTGACTGCCAGATCAACCAAACTGCAAAGGGGCTTGGACAGCTACCAGGTAAGACAGTTACTTTTTCATGCGCTGATTTATTTTTTTGGTTTTGTTTTGCTATTCTAGAGCCAGCCCAACATAGTTCCATAAGGGACCTTAGCACACTGATACATGATACGTAATTTTGCAGTTTTACGTGTGTTTGAGGCTAATATGTATAATGTGAGCATATGGTGCTAAATCTGCTGCTTTTTTTGCTTTATAACTCAGTGTGTAACTGATAAAGAGCCAAGTATGGTATTTGAGTATACACAAAACAGCAGCAGTATGGAAATTGTTTTTACCTTTGTGTAATTAATAGTAGATTCCTAGCTCCATTAGTTTCCATCCCTTACAAGGATGGTGAAAGTTGAGGAGGAGAAAAGCAGAAAAAAAACCGAAAGGAAAATGAATAGAGAAAATGTCATATGGTGAAGATACTGTTTATCTTTTCAAAAAGGACTGAGCTGTTACTTGATCAGAATCAGAAATAGCCATTGCTGAATGTGAAAGGGCTATTTCATTTAGGAGAAAAAGTTCTTAAGAAGTATAAATGGCTTCAAACTGATACTGGACAAATTCACATTGGAAGTAAAGCATGCTTTTAACAGTGATGGCAAAGAACAAGTGGAATGGGCCACCCAGGGAAGCGAGGTGTCTTTTGTCAGAAGGGTTGCATTCAGAACCGCACAGATGAAACTGCAAAACGTGAAGATTGGTGATATGCTTGCTCAGTCCTTTTTCTGGCACTGTATTGTATGATTTTTTTTTTATAAATGTATTCACTAATACTCAAATCATGGATGAGATTCTATAGTCTGTAAAGAAAAAAAAATATGTTTCTACCTGTTAATAAGACTTTGGTTATTTGAGTGTTGTAATTTTAACATTTTATAAGTTTGTTTGTGGCAGAAATGTTTGTATTCATTTTTGGGATATTTCTGTGAGTTTCTGTTGAGAGAAATGCATGTTCTTTTGTTTTTTACAAAATTTATTTTCTCCTACCAGAAGGAGGAGGATGATGGTGGTGATATGGATAGTTACCAGGTATTGCTGCTGTTGCTGTCAATCCTGTGGCATGGGGCACAGCTAATGCTAATAGCCAGCAACTTTCAAATGAACAAGCGTACTGGAGCAAGCAAAAGCGGCTTTGAAATATATATACGCTGTGCATTTAAGAGGCTACCTGGGCTATAAAACACTGCTATTTCAGTTTACCTTGTGACTTCATATTCATGCAGTGTGCTCTCTTCTCTAGTACCCAGCAGTCAGCTCTCCTAACTGGCTACATGAATTGCTATGTGAATAAAAGCCTAGAAACTTTAATTTAAAATGAAAACAGTTGCCACTGAATATCATAGGGAAAAGAACAGCCACCTGCAGTTGCAGGCATCTTTCCCAACCAAATCGTACAGAATAGGGTTTTTTGTTTGTTTTCTAAAGAAAACATCGTAACCTTTTAAGTTGTACAGTTTTCTGAAATGCTAGTGGGAGAGAGAGGAGAGGATGCGAGTGTGGGGAATACAGAAGCTTCAGTGAAGCAATTTTTTTTAATCTACACGAAAACAAACCTTGAGCCTGGCTTTTTGTGTGATAAGTAAATATAGAACAGTCTTAGTTTAGAAAGCATAACAGAAGAATCACTTAAAAGGCGACAAAGGGCAAAAGAGGAAATGCCTAAAAAAGTAAAACACATTACAGATCTCTACAAAGAAGTCCTATTTCTAGTAGCAGCTTTACAGAAGTAAAACCAGTTAGGTGAGAATGCTGACATCCCTTAAGATAGTGTATTAGGTTTTACAGCAATCTCAAAGATACCAGTTAGGTACTAACTTCTTGCGGGCTGTTTATGCGCTTCCTGACTTATCACAGAGAAGAACGAAGCAGATTTTCTGTGATACCACAAAGCATGATTGCATGATGGGTTTTGTTTGCATGAGAAATCTTTTAATTGCACTGATAGCAGCTGCTAGCAACGGAATTTTGTGCAGGTTTGAGGGCGTACTGACCTGTCTAATCTTCAGGAGAACTTATGATCAACTGATGATACCTATTTTTCCTATTCCACATGCTGTTAAAAAGTTTGATTGCCACTTCTGTGAGTAATTAGCCTATGGTGTATAATTCTGTTTAGCAACTGAGGCAGTCACATTTTCTTTTCCTCCTGTTGGAATTTGAGACTTGAAAGCAAATAAGCTTCCATTCATGGGTGATGAGGTACTTAATCAGTGTGCATGTCATTCGGGAGAAAAAGGTTTTCTGCATCACGCAAGCTGTTTAATATCAATTCTGATGAACTTATCACAAAATTCACTGCCCTTTAATCTTAACCACATAGCCTAATAACTTTCTTTTCTCTTTCCATGTTAGGAAGAAGATTTAAACTTCGTACGAGAAAGGTGGTCTGATGCATTGATAAAACGCAGAGAATACTTGGATGAGCAGATTCAGAAGATCAGCAACAAACAAGGTTTGAAGCTTAAAGTCCCTGTCATAAGTACTTTATTCCCTATACCACGAAAAATGTATCTCATATATAATATTAATATCTTTCACTGTAGAAAAATCTGAGGATGATATAGAACGAGAAGCCCGGCTGGTTGAACAGTGGGTAGGGCTGACAGAAGAGCGGAATGCGGTGTTTGTTCCAGCACCAGGCAGTGGAATTCCCGGTGCCCCCGCAAATTGGTATGTTCAGAAAAACCATTGGAGTGGTTAGCTTTTTCTACATGAACATTGCACGCTACAAGGTAAAAATCTGAGGATATTTTAGAGCTTTCTATGTTTTCCTGTAATGCTACCAATTACACTCAGCTGGCAGAAGGCTAGAAGGTCAGGTGCTGGTTTGAATGTAAGAAACGTTTGCTTAGTTAACATAGTGTATAAAGTAGCTTTGAGATAGCTTTCAAGGTTTGAAAATCACCTTTGAATTTAACACAGTATTTTACACTTTTTCAAAATTTTGAGAAAATTATCCTGTAGTTTGACTCCTTTCAAAAAAGGAGTGGTTCAAAAATGAATGGTAGAACATGTGATAATTTCATTGATAAGGGGTGGGGAGGGAAGAAATTCTGATTTTAAAGGTTGTGTTCTCTTTTCTCGTTTAATTTCATTTAAATTTGTGTTTTAACGAAGATCATTGGAACTGACATTCAAAAATGAGGAACGCAGCATGTTAGATTTGGGAAGGCGTGGCCAAGAAATACAGCTCTAATCAAGTGTACACTGATGTCTCTGATAATAGCTAATATCTCTTCTTCATTGGGTGAATGATGTAGTGATAATCTTTCCTCGCCATTTTTTTTCCCCTTCAGGTGGATACCTGAAGTGTGCTGTGGTCATACAGCGAAAAGTGTATTTATTGATATAAAGACTATGCCTTGCCAGTTAGTTACATATCCAGTTGTTTGAAAGGTTGCTAACCTTTATGTATGAGATGACTACCACCAGTTAACTTTATAAGAAACAAAACAGGATGTTTAAAACTTGTCATCCTCACGGCAACTGAAATATGTTGTGCGGTGTGAATTAAGTTTTGGTAAAGCGCTACGTTTAGCTGCATGTGTAGATAAACAAAACTTTGTCTGTGCAACATAGGCATTCAAATTAGCCATCAAAATGTTGACAGGTTTAGTCATTGGTTACAGTTAATATGAATCTTGCATGGAGATCTGTTTGCCCAAATTAGCTTAGGTATGTATTTGCCTTCCTTGTTGACACTAGTTTGTTTTGTTTCAGGATTCCACCTGCAGGAATGGAAACACATATACCTGTCCTCTTCCTTGATTTGAATGGTATGTTGTAATGGCAGATTAAGAAACCCGAGGGGGCGGAATTAGTTTGGATCAATAAGTTGATAAATGGAAGCATGAATCTGAAATGTTTAAGAAATCAAAACAAGTCCTGGCAATGGCACTGTCTGATACGGCTTGTAAAATGATTTTTCTTCTGATTCCGTATGTCGGAATAATTATCTGTAGAGGCTTAAACAGCTGGTTTAATGAAGAGTGTGTTTGGACTACAGTGAGCATTTTGTTAGAGAATCTAAATGTTCTCACTTTGAAGGTATTTAGTTTTACATGTGAGAAGGCTATTGATATATATTCTCAGGACACAGATACGCTGTAAGCAACACAAGACTAGAGTTAGCACCACATTTAAGGACTGTTTAGGAAACAAGTCTGTAAGTATAAACTTGGACATAAAGCAGAGGAGGATCCACAGGCCTTGTCACATCCAGCACTTCAGTGGGCTGCTAGAGATGTTTATATAGGCAACACATTAATACCTGCTTTAGAAGGTGATTTTGGAAACCGATATACACTTTTTTTTGCTCACAAGAAAGACTTTTACTTGTTTTTTCATTATCAGCAGAGATTAGCAGACAGAAGATCAAACAGGATATTTAAACAGATTGATGGATCATTGCACAACTTTTTTTTGTTTAGCTAAAAGCCTAATGTAGCCAGAACTGCTTTTCTCAATTTAAAGATCCCCTGATACATCAGAAGTGATTTAACTAAGAGATAAGCTGGTTAGACTGACAAGGTGGATAAATCAGAAATTTTCTGGCTGGGTAAATTAACGTTATGAATATAGAAATAGTTTTGAATTCCGTTTAGGTTATGTGAGAATGTGTTCAGACTGAGTCTTAGCCTGGTTTTACTTCCCTTTTGTGTGCTGAAATTGTCTTCAAAATATTGCATAGTAATAAGATTAATTAGGATTAAATGTATTATGAAATATGGGTAGGACTTTATTACAACTTTGCATTACAGCTTTGTCTCTATATATTAATATCCTTTGGTATAAAACTATTTCATTCTTTGCACATTTGTTTCATTAGCTGATGACCTCAGTGCCAATGAACAACTTATAGGTCCCCATGCATCAGGAGTTAACTCAATACTACCAAAGGAGCATGGGAGTCCATTCTTTTATCTGCCGATCATAAAACACAGTGATGATGAGGTAAATTGTTAGCAAGCCTCCTTCTTGACAACTGCAGCTTATGTTAATGCTTTCTTCGTATGTTTTACTTTCTACTTGTATGTATTTAATCACTATTATATTTTTGTCTTAGAAGTACCATCTATATCTAGTGCTGCCTTTATTTTCTGGCCTATTTGCTTAAAATTTAAGAGGATAATGACTTGTTAGCCCTTCTTCCTTAATTCAGAGGTGACAAGTCGTAGCTCTTCGTGGTAAAAGAGTAATTCAACTGCCTGACTCAAAATCCCTTCTTCTTTCCTCACCCCTTCATCATTCCTCTTGCAGGCTCTTGATTCTTCAGAGAAAACTACTTCATTTATTGTGCACATTAGGCAAAGCTTAATGTTTAAATAAAACTTTCCTTGTCGTACACAATTACTTCTCTAAATATAAAGTTTGGGAGTTGTTGGAAATGAATTGTTCTGAATCCATTTTGGAATTTCTTAACTCATTTCTTCCACCTTCTGTGCCAACTCAGGCCGTTGCTTAAGAGACCATTTCCAGAATAAATGGGATGCCGAAGCTGGGGAGGAGGCAGGGGGAAGGAAAAAGACGTTCTGCAGGATAGGAGCATGTTTATTCTGTATAGGCCTTTATAACCTAATCCAATACAGACTGAAGATTTGCCGTTGAATTTGATAAACTTGTAGTACAGTTGCAATAGGATTTGTATTCCTTCCTCCAGTCTTGCTTCTGCTTTCCTCTCTGCCTCTGTGTGAAGACTTACTTCTGAAGCAGCGTTTGCACAAGGCAGGGGTTGTGTTCACGATTGTCTTCCCCAATATCTTAACACCTCTTTTATGCTTCTTCTGATAAATTCCTCACTATGAAAAGAAGGTTTGACCCCATTTTGTTCAATGATACTTATTTTTCTTTCGTTAAAGAATTGCTTTACTTCACGTTAAATCCCTGTAAATTATACCTTTTGTTAGAGTAATTGAGTCTTTGATTTCCCTTTCCTTCCTCCATTTCATTTGTCTGCATAGGTTTCAGCCACTGCTGCCTGGGATTCCTCTGTCCATGATTCAGTGCACCTGAATAGGGTAACGCCTCAAAATGAGAGAATTTACTTGATAGTGAAGACTACTGTGCAGCTTAGCCATCCTGCTGCAATGGAACTGGTACTACGCAAAAGGATTGCAGCCAATATTTATAACAAGCAGGTAAGAAGTTGTTGTTGTTGTTATTATTATTACTACTACTATTATTACTATTATTATTATTATTATTGTTTGCTATCCCTAATTTTATGAATGTGTTTTCTTAGCTGTTTGCTTCATTTTGTATAAGTTTGGTCCCTCAAATTCTTACGAAAGACAAATGAAAAATAGATTATTAGAGGTTGCAGTGAGGTGGTGCACTTCTGGTATATCCCTTTGAACTGTCCATTTTTCAAGCTGATTTGGTTCAGAGTGTAACAGGTGCTACTTTTGTAATACGAAAGGAGTTTACCTTCTTGTCTATACAATTCGAAATGTTCTTTGATTCAGAGAAGTTTGCAGTAGCTTACCTAATATAGGGTCACTGGAGCCGCTCAATTCCTGAAAGCATCTTTGGTGCCTTTGTATGTTCAGTGTAAACACAATATATCTTTTTTTCTTTCTCTTTGCTACTTTCTCTGCTAATTACAAACTAGGTTTGTTTCCAGCCACTACCCAAATGTATACATTCTGTACCCACTTTTACATCATGATCTTGGATAGGGCATTTACTGTGGCTGCAAGGGTGGTCGCTGTTCCCCTTGCTTTGCTGCTTCACGGGTTTAGGCAATGAGATGCTCTCTGAAATCATGTTCCTTTCTGTCTCCCAGGTGATTGAGACCAAGAGCATATTTCAGAATTGCTTCAGATTTTGCAGTGCAGTGGGGGGAGGAGCACAAAACAGCTGTTGTACCACTAAGCAACTTACTAAGCAGCTGAATTCCATGCCTTTTTGTACTTGTATTGTCCTTTGCTAGTTTTGTCTAAAATTCCTTATTAGATGAAAGTGAAGTTTACAGTTAGTGATGTAAGGGCTAACTAACCTGCCAATGAAGCATGCTAAGCTTGTGATGACAACAGTGAAAACTCTAGTCACTATTTCAGTTATGGCTAGAAAGCAGAGTTATGCTTTGCTATTGCAAAAGGAATTTTGTACCTGTTGAACAGATGGCTGATGAAATAAGAAATGTTGGTGTCTGTACATTAGAGACTTCTTACAGCCACAGTTTCTCAGTTACAAGTTACTACACGAGGATAGAGCATCAGTGCAAAATGGGAGGAAAATGTTACTGATTGAACTTAGTAGCATTGTATACTGAGCACAGGGCTGTAAAGGGTACTTAAATGGATCATTATCCACCTGTAAAGGGATCATTAATGCTAAAAAGGAACTTACGGTCCAGAAAAATGTGCTTTTGTTGTAAAATAAATTTTTGCATTGCAACCTTTTATTTCTTAGAATGTCATAAATAATTGTTGTCAAAACAATAATTGAAAATGACTTTGTTTCTAGAGTTTTACCCAGAGCCTGAAAAGGAGAATATCCTTGAAAAATATATATTATGCCTGTGGAGTGACCTATGAAATAGTATCCAATATACCAAAGGTAAATTGTACCATATTTCTCTGGTTAATTCACTGAAAGGAACAGAATGACCTACTGCAGTTGGTGATACTGATTGGGAAGTAAATGTCCTGCTTTGCTAACAGGAGGCAGCTTGCCGAAGTGTATATCCTGAAGTTCAGTGGTGAGATCATGTTTATCTTTAAACAGTTGAAAACCGTAGGGATTTTATTTTCTCTTCTACTGTGTTTAACTGAGTTCTTGTAGTAGGGCTATTTTTGAAATCATATTAGTGCCTACAGAGAGAATATAGAGGGTACTCAGAGGGATGTTCAGGTCAGTGAAAACAGAATAGCTGGGAAAATGAGTTCGCAGGAATATAAGTTGCTTTTTATAGAAAAAGCTTGTACAAATTGTAAATCTACTATAAAATTTATTTTAAAGGTAAAAAAACTGGACAAATGAAAATGTAAACAGTCTTGTCACTTTTGTGTGGTAGTACCTAAAATTTACACTCTAGAGAAATCACACACAATATCTAAGATTTGGGAAGGAAGTTGCATTTCCTTGCCTAAGAAGTTGTCATTAGTTAATCCTTAACATATGCAATTTCAGGTTATATATGCATTATTTCTAGAAGTACATTGACTGCAGCAAATGTGCAAAACTTCTCCCAAGCATGACCTCTTCTTAGTTCAGCATCACTTACATCTGGATTGAAAAGTCCTGGATCATTGATTATAATTAGGATTACTGATTAAGTTAAGGATTATCGATTCAAATTAATTTCTGGATTGAGATGGTCTAAAGAAGTGAATTAATACATTAAAAACAATAGGCTTTAGTTTTTAAAAACTTCAACAGTGTAACTTGTAATTTAGGCTACAGAAGAAATTGAGGATCGCGAGACCTTAGCGCTGATGGCTGCAAGGAGTGAGAATGAGGGCACATCCGATGGTGAAACGTACATTGAAAAATACACACGTGGTGTGCTGCAAGTGGAGAACATTTTGAGCCTTGAACGACTAAGACAGGCAAGGAAAAGGCACTTTTTGCACCTTTTGAACTGGATTATGAGAATTCAAGTAGAGATGATTGATCTTTTAAAAATATTGTGTAGGTGGTTTTTTAGTTTGGGTTTTTTTAGAGAACACTGGATGGATAAATGTAAGACTAAGTTGCTTCTGTGAAATACAGAATTCCAATAGTGCTGGGTCTAGTAACTGTAGCTGATAATGGTGTAGTATGCAGAACCTGAACAGGCAAAGGCCAAAGAATGAATTTCAGGTACAAATTTTGGCGGTTGTGTGTGCAAATTAGGATCTGTAAATGCAAGCCCCGTTTGCTGCTGTTAGCCACGCTGAAAAAAGCTTCTATCCTGCTTGATCATTTCTCATGAGGAGACCACGGCACTGTTTTTAGTGTGTTCTTTTCTTTACGCAGGCAGTCACAGTCAAAGAGGCGCTCTCCACCAAAGCAAGAAACATCCGCAGAAGCATCAGCACTCCAAATGTCCACAATGTAAGGACCCTTTATCCTCTGGTAAATTAGTACTAATGGGGCAGGGGGGTGCCGTTTGTGTGCTGATGTAATGCTTGCACAATGTGATATGGTAATGATTATTCTGAGCCAGGGCTAACCAACCTGTAGGAAAGTTGTCACGAATGAAAATGAGTCACTCAAAACCCCTCCCCACAACTGTCCATCCTAGGAGATAATGAAGTGGACAGGGAAGTGGGAGGGTTGGTCAAAACTCTTCTCCTTTTACAAGGATATTCGTTTTGGAAGTAGTTTAGGATGACAACTGCCCTGTTGCAGATTACTTTTACTTCAAAGTCCCTTTAACGTTTTTCATAGTGTAAGGGATAGTTTCCATTTTGTGTGCATTTTATGTGTTCTATCACCCACTCACACAGCACAAACATAGCTGTCCTTATAAATAATCTTATCTGAAAAGAGCTAACAGAAAGGTTGTTAGGACTAAATGATCACAGTGTTTCCTCAAGGCATTATATTTTATAAATAAAAGGTAGGCATTTTGTCATTCTGCCTCTTGGTGTTCTGTAGGTATCCTGTAGCCGACTAGATCTTTCTGCCTGTGATGAAGATGATAAGGTATGTAAATGTGACAACAAACGGCACACATTCTCAGATTTTTTTTTCCCCCCTCTTTGAAGCAAGATGTATTTGAGAACTGAAAAAAATAGGAAAACAGTATTTTTAACGGTCTGTTTACGTAATGTGTCTTCAAAATGCTGCACTAATTACATATTAATTTGAATTAAACCTTCTTGTCCTTCTCTGCTCTTCATATTAGAATTGTAGAAACTGATATTTAAGAAGGGGGAAGTTATAGCAAAACTTAATATACTTCACTGAAGCTAATTAGCTTCTAAACAATCCATTTGTGTGAGACAGAAAATTGTCTTAAGTCAGTAACTTGACATTCCTTCAGTTTGTTTTTTTTAAAAAAACAACCTGCTTTTGAGTTTACCTATTAATTTTTCCACGTTTGCCTGTATCAGCATGCATGTTTATGTATTTTTGTTTCTTAGGGTTGGTCTGAAAGTCACCTAGATATATCTGACTGTTCTTCCAGTTATCAAGATGTATCATGCTATGGTACTTTACCCAGGGAGTCACCTCGCAAGAGCAAAGATGGCAGTGGTGAGACTTTAAAGTATATACGTAATGACAGTGTTTGGGGATTTTAATTACTGCATTAAACTGAAAATTAAATTCCCAGTGCTCTTTTCCTACTAAATGCATTATCCAGCTTCTTGCTTTAGCAGCTAAACACAGTCTGGAAGTAGGGGAGAAAGGGAGAAACGCATGAAGACATCCAGGAAAGGATGTGGGAAGTTGGGGGTGTCCAAAAAACCAAGAGGAGGGCAGAAGAGCAAGCTAAATGTGAATCAAAATAGTAGAAGGGAAAACAAACAAACAAACCAAAAAGGAGCTGCTGTTATTTTATGAATTTGAAAATGAAGATGCTTTCATTAAAGTAGGAAGGGTCCTTTTGCAGGTTCTTTACATGGTTTGGATATTTGCTCTGCTGTGTCAGTGTCACAGGTGCCTAGTTTTCTCAGGTCAAATTGTAACATGCTCTTCTTGATCAGGCAATACAGGTAGAGATACTGCTGCAGTAAAGCGGGACTGAGAGTTTATTCATTGCTTCCTTGCCTATAATTTCCTTTTCGATCATCCTGGTCGTGCAGGATTGCTGGCTTGGTTCCAGGGCAGAATTGCAGTGTTGCGGGCAGAGGTCAGGTGAGGCACAGGAAGCAAAGAGCTGTCAGTTCCAGTTTCAAGGATGCTTCCCACTGTTTTTATGACTGAGAGGAAAAGGAGAAATATTGGCGCCTCAGAATGGAGGGGGCAGATACTGCTATTTTCTGCTTTCCTTCTGTTTCCAGACTTCAGAGGGGCATAATCTCCCCTTGTTGAGCTCTGTGTTCTCTCATGCTTGGGTCAGTGGTTGAATACTAAAATATTGACATTCTTCTGTAGCCAGCAACTTGCCAAATGGATGGCTTAACCCTCAGTTATTTTGAATTATGCTCTTGCAGTCAAGATATGAAGAACTGAAATACAATATTTTTGCTTTTTTACCTAGGTGTTGTAACAGAGAATTCCCATGCTTTAATGGCCAGCCCTTTTAAAGCATTTTCTCCTCAGCCACCAAAGTTTTTCAAGCCCTTAATGCCAGTGAAAGAGGAACATAAAAAGAAGACCCCACTTGAAAGCCGACCTCTGCTTAGTCAAGAGGTAATCTTTGAAAACCACCTGTTTTTTTAAAGGAGATCGAGTGATTTTGTGTACTTGGCAAATTGTGTGCAGCATGCATCTGTTGCAATAGAACGTTGTAATTCTCTGGTAAAATTAATCAGGCTGTTCGTTGTATGTGGTGGGGTTTTGGTGTTTATTTTTTTACGTTAAACACTGGGGGTTTTTTCCACTTCGTGGTAAGTACTCTACTTTACAGGGTACTTGTTATATTTTAAAGTAACAGTAACCTGGATTTTTTTTCTCCAGCAAGGTGTTGGTGTGTTTTTTCATAGATAAAACGTGATTCTGTGAAACAGTGTTCTAGGGTGGTTATAATTCTGACCTTTATTCCTCAACCTAAAACTCTGTTGGGAGGAGCACATGAGTTTCTGTACCTATTAACTTGAATGTTGATGTATATGTGGCCAGCATGGGTGTTTCACCTTCATCACGTCTTAATGCCTTTCTAACTTGCACGTGTTTAGCGCTGTGGTCAGAGTTGTGGTTTGTATGATGTGTTGTGTGTCTTAACCTTTGCAGAGCATGCCTTCGTCTCGGGTGCACTGCGCTGGCTGTGTTGTGCCTTCAGGAACTAATGCCAGCAGCGTGCCTGTAGAAAGCAATAGCATGCGTGAGGAAAAGATTGTGAGTTTTGTACAGGTTTCTGTTGCGAGGCCTGGTGGTGGGCTTAGGGCCATTTGGTGGCGGGCTTAAGGCACTTACGCTCCTGCAGCAGAAAAAAGGTGAAATGTGGCTGTAATACTTGGGATTGATTGTAACTAACGGTTATAATGAACAGTTGCTTGCCTGGCTTGCAAATGCAATCTGTCATTGGAACTAACTCAACTGGGTTTTTGCATTTTGGTTTGTTTTGTTTTGGGTTTTTGGTTTGGTTTGGAGTTTTTTTTAATATTAATACGTGATTTGTCTTGTGGGGTGGGTGGGAGAAGGGAGGTTTTAGTTTTTACAGGGCACAAATGATCAAGTAAAGGGTGGTTTAGTGAACCATGTTGTTGTCACTCTAATATACCTTGTATGTTACCCAGATTTTGTGACTATACCCCAGAGTAAATGGAATGATCCCATTTGGTGTAAGTAACCGTGCATTTAGGTGTGGGTACACTATAAAAAGCTTCTCATTGCCTGATGTGGAAGTAATATGACTAAAATAAGATTGCCGCTCTTAATTAACATGCAGTCTGTCTTCATCATAATTCAGGCGGTGAATTGAGGTGGAGGGCTTTTATTTTAATCTTCACCTGCCAAATCCTTTTCTTACTGCTGCTTCAACAAAAAGCGTATCATCATTTCTGCTGTATGATGGACTCGGTTTTTGGGCTGTTGAACATGGCTGTAAATACTTGCTTTAATCAGAGCTTTAGATTTAAAATTCAGAACCTTCAAATTATTTCCCGTAAGTATTATAGGCCTCTTTTACCACAAAGTGCTAGTGATGGATTCTTCCTATTCAACAGTTATTTTCATTCCTACCATATAGCCAAGCCATTAAAAAAAATCTGCTCTGGATTTCAAATGCTATTTTGTAGGTTGTTATACCAAAGTATCCTGAGTGTTCTGGTGTATATATTTGAAGCTTGGCTACTGGTTTTGAGTAGCAGCTGTTTTATTCTCAGTCGTGTTAATTTTCCATAAGGTAGCTGACATGCTGACTCACACTGAGTCACTGATGCAAACAGCATGAAGGTATTTGGAAGGCAAAATCTTCTAGTGGGTTGAAAAACATCCCTTGGAAACTAAGTTGTTACAAAATTTTCCATAGCAACTTCAGTGCGGTTTTAATCCCTTGAGTAAAAACAGGGCCCCACCCCATGCATGCCCTGAATTAACCCAGGCATTTGCCTGTCCTGCTTTCCAAAGATAAGGAGAAGCTTTCAGAGCTGGGAAAGGGCAACATCCTGCACCAGGCTTTTCCAATTAGAATGGAACTCATTCATTGAACACTGTAGACCTGCTGTAGCCAACAGGGCCCTGGAAGGAGCTGTTCTTTCAATTCTTAGCTCCTTGCTCCTACTCAGAAGTCAGTGCACTGACCTCTGCCTTGCATCAACATATTTTGTTCAGTTGCATAGTAAGTCAGATCAAGGGAGCTGATCCATCCAGCTGATGGCTAGACTACCATGGAGTTGTATTTCGTTTGGACCTACTCCCCTGTCTGATCACCTTCCAGACACTTTGGTGGGTACCGGGGAGGCAGGCAAGAACTAGGAGCCGCTAGTGGGGAGGAGGTTGAGGCAGCCGCTTTGCGTAGCCCTGCCAGCTTACGGCATTGGGTTTATCAAATGATGGCTTCCGGGGTTTTTTATCACTCTAGGAAGGAAGCCTTTGTAAGATGTAGGCTTCCCAGGCTACGCTGCCTTTTTCAGAACTGGAGCAAGTCTATGTTTTATCTAGGCTGGAGTATATATTTCACACATCTGGATGTGCTCTCAGAATGAGTTCAGAGATTACACTAGGGCAGCGTCACAGCTCCATGTGAAACTTCAGCTGCCTGCTCCTCTCTGTCTGATTTGAAGTGAAGTTTTCAGATTATTAATCAATACTGTTAATGATCGCTCCAAGGTACAGAGCCTCATACTCCTAATTAATCACTGGATGATTGGTGTCACTTCGGGTGTGATGCTCACTTGCATCTTACAGCATGTAAAAAAATGCCACGGAAGTGAAGCAGCTAAACATACAGGAAGCTATTAATAATAACTAAATTAATGTTGTGCATCTAAGTAGGCATAAGAATGATGTTTGGCCTTTTTCTCATGTTTCTCTGGGATCTGTTCTTAACTCCTCTTGAATATTCAAAACACATCTGTCAAAGGAAAAAAAATAGAGCGGTTAACAAAAATATTTTCTTTCAGTTGGCCTGAAATGAGCATTCAACCTAAAATTTCAGACAGTGGTTCCCCATGTGTTTAGTATTGCAGCTATTTCAAAACGGCATGACATAAGGGCATGTTCTATACGATACGTGAGTACAGTGGAATTTGTTATGGTCAGATGACATGTTTTCAAATTGAGCGTATTTGAATACTGCCTGTAATTAACACGTCTAAGAGGGGTTTGGCTAAGAGCAAATCCTCCTAGTGGGTGATGAAAATTGAAGCACCAGTGGTGCAACCGCTAAATAAGTATTACTGATTTTTAAATTCGTAAAATGGGAATTTGCATCTTTGAGGTTACTTGAGAGGTATAATTTAGGGATTTGAAAACTCGAATACTTTAACTTTTAATTACACAGTATGTTCATTACAAAGCAGGGGGTAGGGAAGCTGCTCTGTGTTTTTGCTTACTTTGCTTCTGTTACTGCTAAATCTTGAGGTATAGTCTTGTATCCTTAGTTCTTGCTGGCACATTCTTACTGTTACCAGTTCTTAAATCTGCTTTTCATTATAGTCTTTCTGTTAACTTCCCAGGGCAGCGGCTGCAGTTTCTTTACCAATTTTTCAAGGATTTTATCTGTATTTCTACCAATAACCTGAGCAGTACAAGGCAGCTTCCTTCTTTTTTCCCCCACGTCTTACATCCACAGGAATTTGAAGAACCCTGACATTGCTTTGTTTCTGGGATTTCCCAATCGGGAAGCTCAAGAGGAGCTTTGAAAGGAAATATTTCTTGGCCCCACAAGGGGCACCTTTTGCCTGTCACAAGGGGATGTCTCGTCACCTATTTGCAGCATTCTTCACGACCCATGTTCTAGTAATAAGACTGCTTCTCTGTACCTTAGCTTTTGTATTTACGATGATAGATAACCCTGAAATGACACATGACTGGCAATGTGGTTACTTGTTTAACTCTCCCTAATCAAATCAGCAATGTCTGTGTGTCTGCAGAGCCATTTCTCACTTACAGCACCTCTTATCCAGTCTGATTCTGAACGGGGACCCTGTCTGTACCAAGATTTTTTTTCAGTCAAATAAGGAATCTTGCAGGATTCGAAGGAGAAACAAAGAACTCTGTTATAAAAATGCCGTTTGGCTTCAAGTGGATGTTTAGCTAGTATCGATTAGAAATACTTCCTTCATGAAATGCTTATCGGTTTGGAGTTCATGTAATATCTTAAACCCACTGTATTTGATAAACACTAGAGTTTGTAATATTTTAAAAACAACAAGCTACAAGGTTCTGCATAGAGCAAAACTTAATCTTGCATAAGTAATAAGGGTGAAAGGGAAGGAGTAAGCAGAATAATTGAGAAAAGGTCCCTCAGAGACAAGCAACAGGTATACTCCAACATGCAAGAAAGATGCTTTGCATAATGCCTTAGTGCTTGGAAGGGTATTCGTAGTGTCAAAAAAGTGGATATGAATTTTGTCCATTACTTTTAAAGGGACTGCCTATAGACTTCAGATGTAAAGAACAAGATTTTCAATAACATAATTTTCAATAGTCTTATGTGACATTTCATAACACTATCACTCCTCTGCAGAGAAATAAATAATTGCAAAGTAAAGCTTTCATCTAAATTCCGTATGAGAAATAACTCTGGAGCAGAGTTGTAAAAACTAGTAAGCGAAGGATGCCAAGCCTTTACTTGAACAAATATTAATTATCTGAAATATGGTTGGATTTGTCAGATATACTTAGACGAGTAGATGCATCTTCTTCAGATACTGATTGCTCTGCCAGCAAAAATTTAATATTATTGGAAATCTTGATTCAGCTTAAGAGCCCATTGTGCATGGGTAACATGACTGAATTATGTCTGCTATGAGCTTGAACACGGTAGGAGTGAAAATGAGACCTTGTTATAGATAAGGGCCATAGCAAGTAGCGATCACTTCAAAAAATGCAGGATAAAAGAAAAGTGAAGTCATTTAGACCATCTTTTTTTTTTTTTTAAATCAAACAAACAAAAACTGAGGAAAAAAACCCAAACACCTCCAGGTTAGGAAAAAGATCTTGCCACATAAACATGTGTTTCCTAATATATACCTACGAGGATGTTTTAGTTAACTGCACTGCTGAATGGGGCAGGGGAACTGGTCACAAATGACTTGGAGAAGGCCAACATACTCAATGCCTTCTTTACTTCAGTCGTTATCTGTAAAACTAGCCTTCAGGAATCCCAAGCCCCTGAGACCCAAGGGAAAGTGTGGAACAAAGACGACTTACCCTTGGTAGAGAACCACCAGGTTGGGGAGCACTTAAACAAACTGCATGTTTGTTTAAGTAAACATACCCACGAGTGCTGGGGGAGCTGGCTGATGTTATTGTAAGGCCACTCTCAACTATCTTTGAATGTCATAGCAATTGGGAGAGGTACCTGAAGACTGGAAGAGAGCAAATATCAGTCCTGTCTTCAAGAATGACAAAGAAGAAAGATTCAGCTAACTACAGACTGGTCCAAATTCTGCCAGGTTGATCAGTGTCACTCATTTCCCTCCAAGCACGTACATGTATGCATACAAATGCTCCCTTGAATATTAGCTGTAATATTTGATCCTTTTGCCTTTATTTTCAAACATCGTGAATGTGTTCAGGTGTGATAGGTAGGGGTAAAGAAAATTATTTAGCCTCACTGGTATCAGATTAATAGAAAATCCCATTGTGCAGGATACTTTTTAATAATCAGTATTGGAGTAGAGACCCTGTAAGGCCTCTTCCATTTATATTTATGTTTATCTTGTTAGGTGGTCAATTAGCTCTATAGAATACCTTCAGTAGGTTTAATTAGTCTAAATCATGGGGGGGGGGGTTATAATACATGGTTTTAAAAACTGAGTATGATGAAAATATGTAAACATATAACTTTTTCATGTTGTGGGCTTTCCTATGCCAAACTTTATTGCTTTATATTTTCTGAACTATTTAGAGTTTATCTTTATTTTCTAAAAATTGAATATCTCAGCGTAGACAGGATATGTTCCCAGCAGTTTTTTTCAGAGGTGTCTTCCATTCTTCAATTAAGGAATATTAGAGGTGTATATTCTTCCACGTTTAGAAAGGAAAAAAAATCAAGGAAGGTTAGTTTATTTTGAAAACCTTACTGTCGTAGGTTCCTAATCCCATGCAACACTCTCTTCTTTTGCAGGACTCCGAGGAGGAAGACAGTGAGTTGGAGGCCATTAATAAGAAGCTGATAAGTCCACAAAGTTTTCAAAATTTCCGGCCTTACGTACCGGAGGAGTTTGCTGACTTCAGTGTTTACAATGCTAGCCTGGAGAACAGGGAATGGCTTTCTTCTAAATCAGACTTCATGAGTTCACGTGTTCTTGAGAAAGAGGTATCCCGCAGCCCCACCACTAGCAGTATTACTAGTGGCTACTTTTCCCACAGTGCCTCTAACGCTACTCTGTCTGACATGCTTGTCCCCTGTAGTGATAGCACAGACCAGCTAGCCAGTCACACGAAGGAGCTGGACTCTAATGATCCCTCAGGATCATCTCTTGCACATGATTTAAGATCCTCTTCGAACAAGGAATGTCGAGAGTCAGAAAAGGAGGTAGTGAGAGAAAAGTTACCTGTGTTACCACTGAAAGAAAACAGTGCCTTAACGGAACAAGTACCACTGTCCCTCGATGCCGCTGACACAGACTCTCAGCAGTTACCCAGAGCTGGATCGTTTTCGGCTTTAAGTTCCTTGGATGGCAAAAATACCTGTCGTACAATCGAATTTTCAGCGCGCGAAGCAACAGTTGAGCACACGACGGACATTCTGGAAGATCACTCCTTTACAGAGTTCATGGGTGTTGAAGATGGAAAGGACTTCGACCATTCGACAGCTCTGCAGTCGTGTTCCCTTGTGTCCTCTAACGGAGTGAGCGCCTCGGAGCTACCCCGAGGCACTGACAAGGAGCAGAGCACATGCGTGGGCCAGCTGAGCTCTGCAGCAGCAGCAGGCGACCGGCTTGCAGGCGCTGCGGAAAGCCCTTTTTGTTCTGTACTGGTAAAAGAGACTTCAGACCCTGAGACTTACCCTGATACTTCCGTGGACGATTTTATTGGGAAGGACCACTTGGATGGTTCCGATTGTGAAGAAGGTGCTTCTGCAGATCAAGCCCACGTCTTGCCCAGCTGGGTGGCCGTGGGTGAACAAGTCTGTGTTGGAAGTAATAAGATGGGCACGGTGAGATACGTTGGAACGGTGGATTTTTCAGCTGGAATCTGGGTTGGAGTTGAACTAAATGTTCAGCTGGGTAAGACTAAATATGCTCTGGGTTATCTATGCAGCTAGCGTGATCTATTTTTAAAGTCGCACTACAATCGTATGCTGTTCGCTCCTGGGAAGTACTTCCAATTTCACGTAAGCTTGGTATCTGAAACACCCAGTTCTAGGCTTTCTGCTTATAGGGATGCTTTGATTAATTTTGCACTGTCTTAAAGCCCTGTTCGTCTTGCTTTATGCAGAATAATGCTTTTGTGCGTTGTTTTGTGTGTTGTGGTAGTTCCCATTGGTACCCATCTATTTTTAGAGATCAGAAAAAACAAGCAAAGCCTAAAGTTGGCAGATTTTTTTAAAATCAACATGCATGTTTGTGGGCAGTACTAACAATGGATATCACTTGCCAAATAGGTTTGCTGTCTGTAGTTTTCGGAGATATTTCCTCTGTCTGTCCTGTCCCGTTCCCCCCCCACACCTGCCCCCCCCCAGGGAAAGCTTAATTTTAGAGCACAGGTTTTCTTTAACTTCAATTCGGTGGGGTCAGAAAAAGTCAGTGCTCAGCAAGAGACTCCTACAGAAATGCTTCAGATCTTTAAAAAGATTGTGTTTTTAGTAGTTTAATAGATACTAACACTGATACTAGAAGTTTCTCCGGCAGCTAAGTTTTAAGCTTTGTAAGCATTTGGTTTTGAGGGTAGTTTATTTTGTAAAATGAACAAATGCCTGACTTTTTAAACTGTTAGTTAATGAAATAATATTTTAGGAAATCATCTTTTTGGTCACAATTCAAGCCCTCCTTTCCAGGTTTTGTTCTCCCTAGTGTGTGGTATGCATCTGGCTTCATCACTCAGCATTAACAATCTTGGCTATTTGACAGATAGCTAAAGGTACTTACACTTCAATGCTGCAATTGTCTGTGCTAATGAAAGTACCAGCAATTAATTCTGTGCATTTATTTTCATTGAAGGGAAGCATGATGGAACTGTAAAAGGCAGAGAGTATTTCCACTGCAAACCACGACACGGTGTCTTTGTTCGTCCTGGGCGCCTCAGCAAAGCACCAGCTTCCGCGAGGAGATGGAGTAGCACTTCACGGCCTCAGGCATCTTCCACTTCAGAGAAACGGAAAAGTTCTGTGCTTCAAGGCTCATCATCCGCTCCTAAAACAGGAGGAGAAGTCTTCTGCCACTCGGGAGATGCAGCAGCTTCTGCTTTTTCTAGGAAACAGGAAAACAGGAAATCTTGGATTAGCTAAACTGCAGTATTTTTGCACTTACTACACGCATCACTGTGTAGAAAACTTTATGGATTTTTGAAGCTATTGTACATTTTAATCTGTCCATACGGAATGTGTATTCTCTAGAGTCCTTGACTTAATTCTCTAATTTTTTATAAATTATATATATATTATATATATGAATGTGTATCTATAGTTTGTCTGCCAGTGAGCAGATACGGCTGCACACTAAAATACAGTTAAAGCTGATCTGTAGATAACTGAGGTACTGGACTATTTGTTACGCAACAACTTGGGAGATATATTTTAAACAACAAAAAATATTTTATTGTGGAAAAACCAGGATGTAAATCCCTATTTGGAAAAAAAAAAAAAGCTACGGTTTGCTGTTCTTAATTACCAAAGAACTTGTTTTAGACTGACACATTTGCTGTTTATATCTTTCTATTGTAAATGTTTTAACTGATAACTTGGTGCCATGTTTCTTTTAGTCACTGGGCACCGTGCAGCCTTATGTTCTGTGTTTAAGCACACTGAAATATCCAACTGCTTCGTATTTTTTTTTGTCTTCCTAGAGGCCTGCCACTGTGCTGACTTGGCGTTGGATTGAAATGACTAACAATGCCTGAAGCTATACGTCTGGCATTTCATATGTTAACATAAGCCAGCCGGGCAGTTTGACTGCAGAACCAGTATTACTGCAAGGGTGTGAGAGGACAACATTTTGGGTTTTTTTGCGGGGGGGGTTTGGTTTTTTGGGTGTGGGGGGGAAATGGGGAAACAAAGAAGCAGTAAATGGATCATGACTGCAAACTTTGCACTTGTTACTTGCTGGTTATTATCAAGATGAAATAGAACCTGCTAAAGTAATTTTAATCTGTAAAGTTTATTTTAATAATGGGAACGATGGAGGGATTTATGTCTGGTGCTCATGAATTCCTAAGAAGGTTGTTCCACGTGTAGATACTGTAGATGCCTGAACAAGCGTTCTGGATATTTGTAAAGTAACACGGTAAAAAATGAGTGAAGTGAATGGCCTGCTGTATCTGTTCTTCTTTGTTTCTTAGCAAGTGAATGATTGAGATACCTGGGACCTTACTGAAAAGCTGCTGTTCTTTCTTTGATTGTTGTGTACAGTAAGCGGACTCTCGTATTTTACTATTTACTGTAAAGAACTGTAATTTATATACTGCCATACTGTATTTAATTGGTACAGACCTGTTGTGTGTTAGAATACAGACTGTTTACTTGGGATTTAAAAAAAAAAAAAATGTTTTGCTTGTATTTGGTGCAATTAGGTTTCATGGTCAAATAGTAAGCTGTTCCTAGCTGACGGGGCTCAGATGCAAAGTACTTTGTAAAAATGCTGAAGGGCAATATGATTGGAGTGGAAGACTGGACGGCATTAACCTGTTTTAGCACTGACCGGTTCATGCAGCATTAAGAGGAGGAGAACAGCAGCCCCTGTGGGCACACATTCCGCACCTGCTGCTTTCCCCTTCCTTCTCGGGCGAGGGAGCGGAGCTGGGGAACTCCTGCCAGAGAATGGCGTTTTGTGGGTCAAGGGGAGATGGGGCAAGTTCCTGGAAGACAGACAAGACAGACACGTTGCTAAATATGTAAAAGCCTCAGCTGAGTACAACACAGTTGGCAGCTGGGAGGGTAATGTGCTGGGGTGGGGGGGTGCAAAGAGGGGGGCGCAAAGAGGGGGGCGATGAAGTTCAGTGTGCTTGCCCTTGACGTAGCTATTGGCTCCTCTGAGACAGGATTCTTACGTGTTAATTGATTTTGGTGGAACGAATACCTTTGCAGAACATCTCACACTTCTTGTGTCCACCTGGAGTTGCTTTTGCTGCATTAATGATACTGCTGCTGGAGGAAATTACTCTAATAGAAAAAGCACTTTACGCAGAAGTGTTTTATCAGGCACAGATGATCCTAGAACACTGCCGGGTACCTACACCCGACACCACCGTCTTCAAGTTAATTTTAGATGCCAGGTTAATCTTTTTATAAAGCTTTTTAAAAAACACACTCTCGCATGTGCACACACACTTGCATAAATCTATTTCTCCAAGGCTGCTACAAACAACTTTGAAAGTTGATGTGGCCATCTTATGGCAAAGATGCAGTATTTGTACCAGGTTAGCATCAGCCAAACTAGGCTGTTTGTTGTTTCAGACCTTTGATAATACAGAATGCGTGATTGGGGTTGCTTCAGAAACACGGGGATAATTGTGCTTCTTGGGGTATACAATCTATACATGCCAAAGAAACCAAAACAAGCTAACCTAGTTTCATGCTCTACCCATTTTGCATAACCGGTGCTATCGTGAATTCTGTTATTAGTGAAAGACCTGTACTTTTGCAAACCTTGCATGTTAACATGCCCTGCCCTGGGTTAATTTAAAGTTAGAAGGAGCATATCTAACGAGTGCAATGAGGTAATGTGAAAATGCAAGCATTTTAGTTGATGTGCTCCTCAACGCTCCTGGTACGTAAACAGGAAAAGTGCTTCTGTTAGTCATGTTAGACCAGTAGTTTGCTGTCTTGAACTTCGTAATTGGTGGAAGAAAACCATGGCTATAGTCCAACTGCAAATTGCCTTTTCTTTTTTAATATTATGTTAACCAGCATCTAAAATACACTGCCTAATAAGCAGGATGTACAATCCATACTAAGACCTCGATTTAAAAAAAAGCAAACCAACCCAAATCATAATACTGAACAATGTAGGGCAGAGCCCGTCCCTCATTCGTCTGACCTGCCGGAACAAACCTGTCATCTGGGTGGTTTCCCCGGTCCAGACGGAATTACCTGATTTTGACCATCAGGATAGTTAAGAGTGTTAAAGGAGATCACGCCGGCCTTTGTCTTGTTTTCTGAATTTATTCTGTGTTGTTTTTTCAAGCGTGCAGGCCTCTATGGAGATTCAGCCAGAGTGGTCAGACAACAGCTGGTACAGTCCAGCAAGCAAAAGCACGGTGTTTAATCAGTGCTGCTGATTAAACTCCTTCTGATTAAACTCCTACTGATTAACCAGTACTGCTCATTACACTCCTTCGTGTTTGCAACTGGAGATAGAACATTTTGTGCCGTTACGAAGTGAGTAATAGGAAGCGCCGTGAAGCAGCGTGATGAAAGAAATGTAGGCTGCAAAGCCCCTGGGAGCAACCTCTGGGTATCCTCCCCACCTGCCTCGACGTTGCCTGCCCCCTGACCCCCCTTGCTTCCCTCCTGTATCTCCCCGTGCCCTGTACCTACGGACGGGCTCCACGGGAGAAGCTGCTGCCTGGGCTGGTTAGCAGGTGCTGGACTTTTAAAAGAGCACTTCTGCAGTATGGCGGGACTTGCCTTTCAGCCTTCTCCGTGTTTGGGCCCGCGTTTTAGGGACCTCTTCATCTGTTTAGCTGGTAATTTACGGAATTCGAAGGGAAAAAATGAGTGAAACCTCAGCTTGACTGAAAAGGACAAAAGAGCTTTGAAGTTGTTGGGGAAGGGTGGAGAGGAAGAGGCGGATGAAAGCAGTTGCTGTCTTGTTTCTGCAGAAAAACAAGCTTAAAAACAGCTTTCCTCATAAAAGAACTGCGGAAACTAGGCTGTCAGGACGGTTTTTTTAACCCTGTGAACGTCCAAGTCCTGTCAGCACAGCAGCGGACAGGAGTTCCGTCGGCGAAGGCGTAAACTGTGGCTGTCTTGAGGGTGAACCTCAGACTGATGACGCTGGAAAAGCGTCCAGCTTTTCAGACCTACTTGGGCGTCATTTAATCTAAAACGTGTTCGTTCCGGCGGCGCTTTGCGTGGGGCACCGAAGCAGGGAAAGCGCGACGTCGAGAGGGAGCTGCGGTGCCACAGCAGCTCACCTCGGGCTCCCTTCCACCCCCTCCCGCCCCAGCACCAGCTTGCGGCCCCTCTTCACCCACCCGGTG